GAGTAAGGCCCTACCACTTGAGTTGAAGGTACGTCGCCTATCCATAACTAATCCTATAATATCGTATCCTATATTCCCCCACGATCCAATGTATAGGTTTATTAAAATGATTAGATAGAAAATAACATGACAGTTTCTTCTGCCGCTTCAATATCAACCAAATGTAAAGTCAACTTGATTACTAAATTAAACTTCCTGTCTAAGAAGAAGCCAGATCCACACGTTTAAAAGTTAGATGTTAACAAGATTGAGAATCGGTTTTCTCAATTTTTCTGGCAACAAAACAGGTGTTAAGATTAGAGGCCGACCGAAACTGAATTTCGGCCGAAACCGAAACCAGACCGACAGTTACAAATTGACTTTCGGCCGAAACCGAAGCCGAAGCCGAAACCGAAAGTTTAACTACACTTTCGACCAAGACCGAAACAGAAAGGTATATGACCGAAGTTACCGAACACAACATTTATGAAATAGTAGCTTTACTACCCGGCTTCGCCCGGGACTTGGATTCACCACGGCCGGCCGCCTTTGTCTCCCCAGTGGCGATGTTGACATACCACACCACTTACTCGTTTGAGGCTGAGTCGACCTAGGGGAGGCCCAGGACCGGTTCAAATAATCGTCACCGGCCGTGAGCGGGAATCGAACTCGGGCCGCCGGGTTTGTAGCGCAGCGCGTGAATCGCTGCGCAGTCGCTGCCCCCCCCCCTAGGTGTGTGACGTCATTTATTGACGGCCCCAGATCATGGTTGCGGCTGTAACCTCGCTCGCAAGCTGCCGCTGCTGACGTGTGTGTGTATGCAGCCTATCGCATAGGATTGCCTAGCTCCGACTGACCGGCTGATAGACTAAGCACTAGCGTTATATTCTAAAAATAGATCTTCGGTTGACGACCGAAAGTCAATATCAGTTTCGGCTGAAACCGAAACCAGACCGAAAGTAAAAAATTTACTTTCGGCCGAAACCGAAAGTATGCCGAAAGTGGCCATTTGCCAACTTTTGGCGCCGAAACCGAATTTCGGTCGGCCTCTAGTTAAGATGTTAAAACACCAAACTGAAACCTTTTACAAGGATCATGTCTGCATTAACTACGATACTTGTGGTCAGAATGCAAACAAAAAACGTACTCTGATAATATATGCATTGTCTTTGAAACTGATTGGTCCACACCAGAGACAGCTTTCTTTTGAGCCTAGTCTCAAAACGGTGTTAGACCAGAGGACGCCAAAAGATTGTTATTAATCAGAGTAAAATCCCAATTTCCGACAGCCTAAAATCGGTATTAGCTAAAGGGTTGAATTTCGCAGTCACCCCTAAACACATCCCAGTGGATGATATCATTGCCCAGGTCGATGTAGCCCTCAAAGGGTTTGGACACATCCCGGCAGACGTAGCAAGATCTGAAATTGCTGCTATCCTCAAAAACGCTAAGACACCCGTTCGCAACATCAGCAAGGACGAGCGTTTTGAACTCGCTCAATTAAAAAAGAGATATTATATTATCATCCTCTCAGTCGACAAGGGCAATGCCACTGTCATCATGGATAAAACCACATACAACAACAAAATTCAGAACCTTCTTAAGGATAGTAACTATACCAAAATCAATAGAGATCCTACCAACCACCTGGTTACGAAAACCAACAATATCATCACTAACTCGACTTCTATAATCGAACCAACCAAGCTGCTCTCTCTAAAACTTTCTGCTGCTAGACCACCCAGATTTGATGGCCTTCCAAAAATCCATAAAGAAGGTACACCGCTCCGTCCCATCGTCTCCACCATTAACTCACCCACCTACAAACGGGCACGATTTCTGTCTGAGACCCTGCTTCCATTCACTGGCAAGACCACCTCAGCTGTACTTAACTCAGCTCACTTGGTTTCTCTAATCAAAGACATCTCATTGTCTCCAGATGATTTGCTTGTCAGTTTCAATGTAGTCTCTCTGTTCACCAAGGTACCTGGTGCCTTACATCATTGCAATCATTGAAGACTTGGTCCAACAGGGACTGAATTCTGATGTGCTAACTTTGGTGAGGCACTGCCTTACCAACACTTACTTCCTACCTTGAATGGTACATTCTACAAACAAGAGGAAGGTAACCCAATGAGTTCTCCCTTATCACCAATGGTAGCGAATGTTTTCATGGAGAAATTTGAGACAGATGCCATCCAGGCATCCACCCTACGTCCTTCCTTGTGGAAGAGATACGTAGATGACATGTTCGTAATCTGGCCACATGGCCAGCCAGCACTGAACCAATTCTTCAACCACATCAATTCCATACACCCAGTCATCAAATTCACCACGGAAGTGGAAAAGGATGGCAAGTTACCATTCCTGGATGTTTTGATCGAGAAGAGACCTGATGGCTCGTTGGAACACTGTCTACAGAAAACCCACCCACACGGATACCAATCTAAAGCCCGACTCCCACCACCATCCAGCCCAGAAGAATTCCCTCATCAAAACATGACACCATAGGGCCAGTTGCATCTCCGACCAGCACCACCTAGCCAGCGAGCTAGAACACGTACACCAAGCCCTCAGGATGAATGGATATTCTGACCGCACAATCCGCAAAGCTGTCTCCCCAGCCATGGGGAGACAAACATCTGAGGGCCAAATCAAAACCATCACCTTGCCATACATAGCAGGGGTTACCAACAATATTTCCAAAATCTTAAACAAACACAAGATCCAGGTTCGTTTCAACACAGTACACAAAATCCGTGATTTGATCCCATCTGTAAAGGATGTGATTCCTGACATGCAATACCCTGGTGTCTACAAACTAAGTTGTGGCTGCGGCAGCAATTACATTGGGGAAACGAAAGGACATGCTTCGGACGTGTTCGCGAACACAGGGCAGATCTGAAACACGGTAGGACCAATACCTCTGCCGTTGCTGATCATTGTTTTAACGCTGTGGGCTCACACGAAATGAATTTTTCCAAGACGGAGGTACTCTGCAAACCTACCGGCTACCTTCAGAGATTTGTTCATGAAGCCATCCAGATATATAAACACAGACACAGCTTCAACCGTGAAGATGGGTACAAACTGAGCAATCCTTGGAATAACGTTATTAACCAGGTAAAGTCTTAACCGACTGTAATGTTTCCATCCTACCTGCCGATGTCAGCTGTTATTTCCGACTCTCTGAGTACATCACCAGGTTAAATGTCTTTACATTAACGGGCTAAGTGTCTCACTAACACAGCTAACGTTGCCCCTTTCCAGACTATAACTGTCTGTGATGTTTCTGTGTATGTCTCTGTTTATTTGTCTCTCTGTGTGTGTATCTCTCTGTATGTGTCTCTCTGTGTGTATATCTCTCTCTTTGTGTCTGTGTCTCTCTCTTTCTCTCTCTACGTGCTTGTGTCACTCTATGTCTCTCTCTCTGTTGTTGTCTCTCTGTATGTGTCTCTCTCTGTGTGGGGGTTGTCTCTCTGTGTGGGGGTTGTCTCTGTGTGTCTCTCTCTATGTCTCTCTGTGTCGTGTCTGTGTATCTCCGTATGTCTCTGTGTGGGCCTCTCTCTCTACGTGTGTCTCTCTCTATGTGCGTTTGTCTCTTTGTGTCTCTCTCTGTGTCTCTGTGTGTGTCTTTGTGTGTCTCTATGCGGATGTCTCTCTCAGTTTGTGGGTTGTCCCTCTGTGTCTCTCTCTGTCTCTGTGTGTCTCTGTCTCTCTCCATGTGTATCTCTCTTGTTGACATGCTGGTCTCCCCTCGTAGTTGCTCTTGTGGGTTTTTTGTTCTTGTTGCCCGGCTCTCTGACATTGACATGTTAATCTTCTCGTTGGCACAGCCCCTGGTTGCTGGAGCCGTCTCACATTGACATGCTAATCTCATACATTTACGTACAAATTCCATCTCTAGCTCCGCCCACTTACCCTTGGGTTGAGCCCACCTAAAGCCTATATAACCTCGTGTTGCAGCAGCTTTCTCCTGCATCAGCAGTTCTCCTGCTGTGTTTGTCTCACCTGATGACGGTTGATTTTATTGCAATCGAAACGTCGTGATCTATAATTTTTTCTATCTACGTCAATTTACCGAAAGAACCAAAGAACATAGAGAAAATAAGGCAAGATGGACGTGTCGTGACCAGAATAATTCCTGGAACAGCATTCTAAACTATATTTTACCAGGTAAGGCCCACTACGCTATATAGCTCTTTGTCAGAAGCAACCTGGCCACAGATGAGAGTTCAATGAAGTGGCTTATCACGTGAAAATGTATTGGAGCCAAATACTTGAAACATGTTACTAAATGTGGAAAGGAAAAACTGAAGGACCTGGAGAAAAAAACACGCGACTGCGGGGAAAACATGCAAACTCCAAGTATACAGGTGTCAGGGTCGGAATCGAACCCACAACCTCCTGCATACCAGGCGAAGTATTTAAATCTATTTAAAATCTCGCCACCGTTCCAGTGTGCTCCGGCTGAATGAAGTACCTCCTGGGGGTATACACAAGAGCAAGAGCTGTGGACCAGCACTGTCGAAAACACCGTTGACGACGCGACGCCGTGCAGGTGACTCGGCCACGAGGATGGTCTCGCAACCAGCGCAAAGGCCCCAGGAGCACCGAGCCAGCCGGCAGGCACAGCCTTGATGTAGGTTCATCAACGTGCAAGCTGCCGTATCAAAGCAAATTACTTGCTGGACCTGTAAAGCAGTGGCCCGGAGGCTCCGCTTAGTAGGAGTCAGAACACCGAGCCAAAACTCCTGAGACCCGAGTTCGAACCCAGGCAAACAACCGTGATTACACGAAGCTCTCCAGCGTTGTGAGTTTTTGAGTTCAGTCTGGGTCACTAAATGGCGGCACAATAAAACTCTGACCACGTTACATTTGATTATGCGTGCTTAATTTTTCACCTACATTTTAAAATATCAGTTTGACCATCGTGTGACTAAAGGTTGAGTCTCTGTAGAGCAGCGCGAAGTGTAACCATAGCATAAAAAAACAGCAACATGAATTAAATGTGGGTTTTTGTTTAATTTTGCAAGGGTGACATGGTAATTCTTCAACAAACAATAGATATTCCATTGGAAATTCACACTTCGTTACACCTCCCAATATATACCAGGTCACAGACTTAGGCATGTACATTACTGCCAGTGAATGGATCGACAGTGTCTTATTTAAACTGCGTTGGTCAGATTCCCTATTTTGGAAGAGACGCCGACCGTGCGTAAAGCGCTGCCATTAGTTTTCCCAGAAACAACGGCCCGGAGGAGTGAAGGGCAATTCCACATTCTCCCGCATTCTTCACCGTCACGCGCTTACGTTCATGCAAATTAATAATCACATGGAACGTCGCGATGCGGTTCCGTTGCAGAGTGACTCGGGACGTCTAGCCATCACGCTACACTCTCGAGCGTCTCTGCTGAGGGACGTGACGAGCGCGTGATAGGCTCTCAAAGGTGGGCCCAAAAGCTTTTTGTTTTTAACACTGGCCACGAGCAAATTCAATCCGGACGCGTCTCCTGCTTCAAAAAGGCAGCCCAGAGCCGGTTTGTAAACATAACGACCACCTCCAGCTGCCACTGGATCTTGGTTTTGACCTTTATTTAAAACTGTGACCCCACGCCCCTGGGGTTCATTTCTCAATAACAAACATAAATCTGTGATTTAATCCACGTCACATTCCTGTGGATCACAAATTATGCAAAACGTCAATGTAAAGAACAGAATATATGTTTATATCAATGTAGTGCAATGTACGTGTGCATCTCTCAAAACCAACGTAATTTTTTACTCAAAAGAGCACCGGGTCGCTGCTCAATGCCTGTTCACAGCCCTGAGCGAGTGGTGGAAGTTCCACATTCCTCACGGCAAGGGGCGGGTCTACCCATTGGACAATGACCGTTGACTTCCCAACAAATTGGATACTCGTTTTACAGACCCCCACAAAGGTTGATGGGCTGAGTGAACCCCCAACCAGGATTTGAACTCGCAACCTCCTGATTGCGAGCCACTGGCTTTCAACCGCTGAGCCACCTGGCTGGCTGTTTATTATTTAGAACCTCCTTGCAAAACAATACGTTTATTGTTCAAAACGTTAGTTGCGCCTATCACTCTCCAAGTGCCAAAGAACGCGTTCTTCATTATCTTGATCTGGTTTCACCCAAACAGGTATTAACGCCATGTATAGGACCTCCTCACCAAGATAAAGCTTTACGCTGCATATTCTTTTTGCATAAAAACACAGATTTGGCCACCTGTGAACGACTCAACACTGCCTTCTTGCCTATCATGGAGATTTGAATACTAGCCATCAAAATTAGCCCTGCGCACTTTCAATAATGTAACACGAGGCATTATGCTCCGTTAAAGATGGAAATCATCCTGTCCACCTTTGCCGTTTTAATTACCGGACCTCACAATCAAGACAAAATTACACATAAGGCACCAAATAAAGTCAGAACACTTCAACAAAGTAGCGCTGTCCACAAATGCAACCTCCACCCATGTGCTAAACACAAACACTTCACTTCCACGTAGCCAAATACGCGTCGTCTTGAATCGTTTAAGGGCAACGCCTTTGTCTCGCTATTTAGATACCATTTCCGCGTTCTTGCTTCCCTTTTCATGTAAAACCATCGATTCACAACCACCAATAATTTGGAAATAAAATCCACTGGGGCAAACACAAGAATGTTATCGACCATCCACATCGTCAGCCATCATTAATCCACTGCTGACAATATCAGTTAACCTGCATTCCTGCAGGTTAACTGATATTGTCAGTACGTCGCCATTGTCCCTTGTCAATCTACCAATGGGGTGTTGTTTTTACCATACTTCACCATGTTGGCCAGTAGAGGGTCAGCACAGGATCACGGAAGGACCACTTATGTTAGCCGTGGTTGGGCATCAAACTCACGAATTGCGATACACCTTCTGCTCCCCTGTTCACTCCAGGACTTGCCGTGCATGCGAGATTGAGGGTTCTGAGAGAGGCGGTGGAATACTTCCAACGGTTGTGTTTCTCTGCACAGCCCTCGAACATGTGGCCACAACGTGGCAACAAAGGAAATAGCACGGAGCATCTGTAGAAAAACCACGTCGCGCCATCTCAGCTGCCACCCCTGGCTCCATGGTTGCTGCTCTCTGAGCCACAAAGACAGAAAGAAGATCCTTTCCACAGCCTGGCCGGAGTGTAGCTCGTCTTCTCTCGCATGGTGGTGGGAGTGGATCAGCAGGATTTCTATGCTCATCACGGTTGGCAGTGAGCCGTGCGATGTGATCCATGAGCCGAGGGTGGCTTCAAGAGCAGCATTGGGGACATCCGAAATGCTGTCGTTGGCGAATAATCACAACGGGCAGTGGCATTACTGTGAAGTCCATCGCTTCAGAATGGAAACCACAGTCGCATTTCGGGCTACTCTTAATCCTTATTCAGAATAGCCTGCAAGGTGGTCAGTGGAGGCCGATTGGCTCGCAATCCCAAAGAATACTCTACACATTTACAACTCGTTCTGCATATCAGTGTGTCCGTCCTTTTTTGAGGTCATTGTTTTGTGAGGCCTGCCACAAAAGCCTCATACATGTGCAGCTGCTGGATAGGATGAGGGCCTGCACAGCGCCTGCAAAGCATGCTTCAGTCTTTGACCTCTGAGCCACCGAGTATCCTCATTTTGGTGACCCAGGTCAAAATTGCAAACGAGACTATCTTGTCTCTTGAGATCTTACCCGGTTAAACAACCTACATTTAAAAACCTTCACACGCTTCACAGTGCGTTAAGTGTCGCTCACGCCATCCGAAGTGAAATGCGTGAGGACGGAGATTGGGGAAAAGTTTTCAGCTCCAAGTAGGGCTAGCTTGGGCGGCCATCTCCATTGTGAAACCCGTGTCTCTAATAAACATTGTTGCATCTGTACGGGATTTAGATATTTATGGCAGTTTCCACCAATTGCTTTGGTCGATTTTTACCAACACCAGCATGACACCACCAGCTTCACTGTAATATTTTAGTCTGGCCTTAAAAGGAATCCTAAATTATAAACAACGTTTGAGGTAATGGACCTTCTTTACAGAACATGAATGCATCATTCACGTTCTATGAAGAAGGGCCATTGCTCGAACGTTGCCCATTACACATTTTTCTGGTAAATGCCACAGTGCTATTGCCACACGTTCGAGTTATTTATTTATTTTCCTTGTGCACCACTGCCAAGCCCAGTATAAAAAGTGTATTATTTTAGGCTCAATTGGAATATACAGGGCAATCATTGCCACCCCCTACTGTGAAAATAAATTAGGACCCTCCTGAAATAGAGTCGCGAGACTTTCCCGGGTAAACAAACGGAATAATAAACAACAGGCATTCATCATCAGCTCTGAAATCACCGTAGCCGGCCTTCACACGATGCCTGTCGTCCTTGTACCAATTCAGGGGAGGGCTGCTGGGATCTACCAGCCACGCAGTGCTGGGATTGCACACTGCCAGGGACTACTGTCCACTGGACTGTCACTCTCAAGAAGCCACTAAGGGCTAAAATACTTTTAGAATAAAATATGTAATTTAAGACGCGGAAGGAAATACATTCAGAACGTGCCAGCTGCGTTAGTGTGGAGCTTTCTCAATGGAAACTAAACGTTCCCTGCGGAAAACTAATATAATTAGGCAAGAAAAATAATCACCACGCTGTCTGCGACACACAAAGCAAACCTGGCGACCGGCCCAAGCCAGGGTAGCAAATCACCCACTCAGAAGTTCTCCAGAATTCGGAAGTGGTTCTCCAAAGAGGAGGCCTCCTTCTCAAAGTGCACCTGCTCGGTGACCGTCGCCCCAAACTCCCGCAGGACGCTGATGAACTTGCGCTGCTCCTTGCCGATCCAGGCGCGCATGGGGTCGCACACCTGATAAGGCGTCACATGGACCCGCACGTCGACGCCGGCGGTGTGAAGCTGCCGCAGCGCGTCGGAACACGTCACCCACGTGTCGCGACCCCCAGAGTGGCCCCCGTCCAGCCAGTACATGTCCCGCACGGCGCCGACGACGGGCGCCAGCGTTGTGTCTCTCTGCGCGGCAGCCAGCTCGTACAGCAGCTGGTTGAGGACCACGCAGCCCTTGCTGAAGCCCACCAGGGTCATGGTGCGCGGCCTCGAGAAGAACTCCTCGCTCCGGAGGAGGGCCACCGAATCTACGCTACTGAGTTTCGGCGCGCTCCGTGCATCTTCGCCGGCCACGGGGCCGCTCGTTTCATCGCGGCTCCCATCGGTCGTCGGCGGCGCGCCCGGTGGACCGGACGCCGGGTTGTGCCAGTCACCGGCTTCGCTCCCATTGCGTGTGGCACCGAGCAGCTCTGCCCTAGCATTGGAAAGCAACCGGTGGAGGTGGGAGAACGCCGCGCGGCCACTTGCATGCTCGGGCGCACCGAACATGTTGCTCGGTACGAAGTTGTCATAGCAGCTGAACTTGTGCAGGTGCATGCGCGAGGCGCGCACCAGCCACACGCAACGGCCCGGGAAGCGGCGTGCTAACAGGCACGCAGTCTCCTCCAGGCTCCAGCGCTGCCAGCGTGCGCTGTCCGGGCTTGCCGCCATCTCGTCCCGGTAGCCCTGTGGCGGCACGGCACAGAGCGTTGAGTGCCGGCACCTCTCCCAGCGCCCTCGTCCTCTCATGCACAACAACAACGATGCCCGTAATAGGTACCGCGTCACACAATGTCAGTGTTGTACAGCGCCTCATGCGTCACGCCGGTACCTGTATGTCCCCGGGGAAGTAGACGACGTGGCGCAGAGGAGACTCGGCGGTGATGGGACAAGCCACTAGGACGTCATTGGTGCAGGCGCCCACACCCGCCACTCCGACCAGCCGCAGCAGTGCCACGCGCGCCTCTCCACTGCCACACCACATAGTCTGCCGGCAGCACCAGTGAGATGTTAGCCAGCCCTGCAGGCAGGATGTAATATTTTGCAAAATGCTAGGCTGGCTTGGAGTAGGGATTATCGTAGTAAGGCACTCCCGCAAGGTACCCCTATCCATAATACTGTATGTCCTGTTGCCAACACGTCATCTCTGCAGGCAACACGTCATCCTTGCTGGCAACATGTCAGGATGCAGGGAACACGTTAGCCCTGCATGCAACACGTTAGCCTTGCAGGCAACACATCAGCACTGCAGGCAACACGTTAGCTCTGCAGGTGTAGTGGGTCCAATTGAGTCGAAGACGTTATTCCTTATAGAGGCAACACATTTATTTGTAACACCGAAACATAAAGGGGTAACTGCCCCTTTACCAGATACAACCGAGGGTGCTGACCACCCAGCTAACTACACTATATAGAGGAGTTACTGCCACGAAGGGTCAGGCCCTCGCTCGGGTCTCTGACCACGTGATTCCTCGTAGGACGAAGAGCTTCCAGCTTGAGACGCATAACTTCCAGCTTGTAGAACGAAGAGACCCCGGTCCCTCTCAGGGACCCGCCTTATATCCTCCTACGGACGGGGCCGCTCCGCCCCCGCCCGCCTTCTCGAGCATTCTCGTTCCCTCTCGATCCCTCTCAAGAGCTCTCCCCAGACACATGATCACCCCCTAGCCCCCCCACCTGGGGCCCCCTGTGTGGACACTCCAGATCACGTGTCTACGGGGTCAACCAGAATGCCATGGCCCGGGGCAACCCTGCCCTTGGGCCGACACTCACCCACTCCCCCTCGTGGGAGCCCCCACCACACGCTGTGCGTGGTGTCCGCACGATTCCAGTGCTCACCGAGCCCCGCTAGGGCTGGTGCTACACACAGCCACCCACACGGTGCTGTCCACAATGTAGGAACATCGAACGGCGCGGCCCTTCTGGGCCGGCACCATACAGTGACATCCCCGCTGTCACCACACAGGCAACACCTCAGCCCTGCTGGGTACACGTTAGCCATGTTGGCAACACGTCAGTCCTGTCGGCAACACGTGACTTCTGCAGGAAACACATCGGTCCTGCAGGGAACACGTTAGCCCTGCTGCAGAGAGGTACAGCAACGTAGCACAACAATCTCACTGCTCCCTCTCCACGCACTCTCTCCGCTCCGGTAACACTTCCCATCGAAGCGCTTCACCAACCTGGCCGAGAAGTCGCTCATTCTCATCTACTGCACCCACGTCTGGCACTAACTTCCCACAACCATCCGTGCACTTCCCAGTTCAAGGCATTCTAATGATTGGCTGCATATCTCTCCAAAATTAATACGCCCAGTTTCTGTACAACGGTCTGACAATGCAATCACATTCAGGCGGCATATAAATCCACACTCTATTGTCGTCAAATACTCACACAGATACACCGACTCGCACAAAGATCCCCCGTATAGTCTGCCTGAACTGTTGGGACACATGCTGTTGGCGAGCACCTGTGAAGGCTACCACGGCGCAAGAGGGGGTGGGTGGTCAGCACCACGCCCAAGCGCCTTTGTCTCCCCAGTGCTGATGTTTACACATCGCACCAGGTAGTCATTTGAGGCTGAGTGGACCTATGGAAGGCAGAATACCGCTGCAGATAATCGTCACTGGTGTTGGCCGCTAGAGATAAAAAAAAAACTCGCATCAAGACCCATATATCCACATACTGTAGTCCCATACACTCACACACGGACCCATAGACCCACACAGAAACCCAAAGACCCACATAGAAACCCATAGACCCACATAGAAACCCATAGACCCACGTAGCCATATAGCACGCACACACGCAGACTTAAGGCCTTGTGAGTGCTCTCACGGCTGCTGGGCCGTGCTTTCTCAATTGGTTACCACAGTGTGGCTATTTAAGCGTGGAGTGTGGATTACTGCTCACCTCCTCCTCACTCACCCCCTGCCTCGTCCTCAGCTCCCCCTTGCCCTGGCTGGTTCTTCCGCGCCAATTGTCGGGGTGTCGGAGAAAATGGCACAGATTTAATAAGAAAGTTGGATCAGAATTAAAAAGCCAGGATCTGGATTGTTGGTTAGCAGGTAGCGCGGATGAAATCCACTCCGTAGTTTCATTCTCACCCCGAGGGACGGCCAACCGCGGAAATTGGAGAATCGCTACACGGGACAATTAATGCATGGGAATCGATACAGCGGGAATCGATACAGCGTGAATCGATACAGCGGGAATCGCCACTCGTGTAGTCAATACCCTGCATTGGAATCGCTCCGCGATAATCGACTACGCGACAAACATTGCTCGGAATCGCGACGATTAAATCGCGATTCGACGTGAATCGCGAAGACGCCGAGGGAGCCATGGCGGGCCGTGTACCGTGCCGTTTCCCCGTGTCCCTGAGGCTCCGCGTCTCCCTGTGCCTCTTCCTCTGCCTGAGCGCCGCGGCGGACAAGTGTGAGCGCCTCCTCATGGGACAATATCCTCAAGGGGCACGCGCGGCTTACGCACTCTGAAAATACTGCGTGGTGGAAATTCCACGTTCCCGCAGCCGTAAGGAGCCGCCTCTTATTACGCGATGAAGGGTCGACGATGAGCGAGGCTGGCAGCGGCTGTGTGCAGGGCTGATGGGGGTCCTCTCTTCTCCGTGGTCGCTTGTAGACGGGAGTCGACAACCTGGCCAGCAGCTGCAGACGCGTACGGGACTCATGAATGTTTGTAGTGTATGTTGAACTTCTTTCGCACCGCACGTAGCCAACCGTGCTCGTCGGATGTGCGGGTGAACGACATCAAACTCCGCACAAAAAGCCGTTCTAAAGAAATTCGTTTTCTTAATAGATTTGTTTTCAATCGTGGAAGGACCCCCCCCCCCCCCCCTCAATATCCCCACCGCCCCGTCGCATCCTGCAACCCCCAGCACCCCCCCCCCCCCCGCGTGACAACCCCCCGGTCGCCCCCACCCGCAGCCCCTTCCTAGACGCCCCCTTCCCGAGCACCCGCCCCCCCGTCCACCCTGCGCCCCCCTCACGCGCCCCCCTCACGCCAGACGCCCCCCTCACGCGCCCCCTTCCCGAGCACCCGCCCCCCCCTTCGCGCCCCCCCACCAAGTCAGCCCCCCACCAGCCACGCTCTTCCCCCACCCGCGGGTCGGGCTCCTCCGGATTCGAGTGCCCGCTGGTGATGGGGGATGTTCTGATCTGCGAGCTCACAACATTGGTCCATGCCTCCTCTATAGGCAGTAGATGCGGTAGCCCAGTAGAGTTGGTACGTGAATAGTAAGCCACTGCCGTAGCGAGGGCTACAGTGGATGCTGTGTGCCGGGTGAGGACCGATTTTCTGGGGGTGACTTCATTGGAATCGATCGCAACAGCGGCGTTGTGAGTTAAAGCTACAGTGAGCAGTAACATCGCAGTTGCATCATTCGAAACATCAATTCCGGTTGAGGGGCGGGAACATAGTACAGTACAATTGATGTTGCTGCACTTCTTTCGTATGGCTGATGTAGATACAGAGAAACAACTACAATTTCACATTCAGGTGGTCAAGCTAGACAGATAATCGCGCAAGGAGTAGCGGAGTGCATCGCTTTGATGTCTCCTTCGTATTTGTGGATCGGGCATTGTGTCATACGCTATACAATCAGTTCTGTATTACCACAATCAAAAACTGGAGAGTTTTTAATTTACCATTTGTGCATCAGGTTGTATCGATAAACATGGTGGTCGCCCATCCAAGCGTCATTAGGCCTACCCCATTATAGAGGTGTAAAGGAGAGCCGACACAAGGTTCCAGGGGGTTCGTCTTTTATTCCTTCCTTCAGTCCACACTGGTCCCCAGCCTTCTCAATCTCGTTCCTGCCAAGATCTTCCTGCCCGTTCTCTCTCTTATATCTCCTCGCTTGCTCCCCCTTCCCCTGTCACCGTCCCACTCGCCCTCCTTTTGGTGGGAATCCTTCCCCTGATATCCCCTTACAGTGGTAACAGGGTTATTGATATACTCTAATAGAAACGCCAGCACTGTGTCGATGGGAAACTGCGTATTATTAATGACCACTGATGCGTTCACTATTGTAGCTGTTGTGTATTTACGGAGTTGAGGTGTTGCTCCTTGACGGTGTTGCCACATACATCTGCTCAAGCCCCATCATTAACGACACCACCCAGGAGCCGGTCGGGTGCAACAACGGAACGGCGCCAGGTAAGCAGCCCGTGGGGGTCTCTGAACATTTAGTAATAATAAAACTGTAATTTACTTCATTGGAATCTCATTTGCCAGTAAAAAATATGATAATTGTTTTTTTACCCTTCTATCTGGCAACAAAACTGACACCTTTATTACAAGGAGTCATGTTTGCATAGACCACAATACCTGCAGCCATGATGCAAACAAAAAACATCACTGATAATATATGCACTGTCCTTGAAGTTGATTGGTCCACACCCGAGACAGCTTTCCTTAGAGCCTAGTCTCACATGGGTTAGACCAGATGACGCCAAAAGCCGCACAACTCAAAGACAATACACCATCAGAGTATGAGAGCTCGGGGTAAGCATTTACACCATTGGAATCTCATTTGCCAGTAAAAAATATGATAATTGTTTTTACCCTTCTATATGTTGCCAGATAGAAAGGTAAAAAACCAATTATATGTAATTTACTTATTTATCCAGGAGAGACAAACCGAGTTGCAGGACTTGTTTCCAGGAAAGTCCTGGTACATTGAGGTTTAATTTTAAAAGTATTAGCCAATGAGTGTTTTTACAAGTGGGAGGAAGACCGGAGCACCCGGATAACACCCATGCAAGCGAGGGTGTAACACTATTCCAAATGGAAACAGATGACGATCAGTGTGTGCATGTTTACATATATTATACATGTGTGCCTGTTAATGTGTGTGTGCGTGTATGGTATGCGCGTGTGCATCGACCCACAGTGCCGTGCTACCCAGCGCCGAACGTGACGTGTGTGGACGCACAGGGTAGGGAGATGACCTTCGATGGAGAGCGAGTCGGTTTCACGCAGCTCGTGCCCTGCCGTGACACGTGAGAGTCCCCATCTCGACGGCTCGTCGGTGACCGCGAGCCGCATTTTATGACGAAGAAACGATTGCCATGTAGTTTCACCTCGTTGACAGCAGTCACTCGAATCTCAGACTTCCGAGTGATTTCCTGCTCAAATAAGCATTGAGGTGCTGCTTACTTCCTGTTTTTAGCTCTGAGCCAATGATCTATTCATACGACTACCACTGTTGACTTTTCCACGAAATGGTGCCTATTTTATGGACCCGCAGAGAGATGATGGGCTGAATCAACCCTCAGCCAACAATGAACTCTCAAACCTTCCGATTGCGAGCCGCTCACTCGACCGCTGAGTCACCTGGCCGGAGTTACTTGCGTCTCACTATAATCATTCTGGCACAGCTCTCTGTGTATTTGCATACTTATATATTAAACTT